AAAATCACTGCATTCAATTCCCTCAGTTTCTAGATGAGAAACGTGAAGGCCCAAAGAGGAAGAGTGACTTGCCTAAATGACACAGGAAATTGGTGGAAGATCCTGAATTAGAATTTCAGTCTTTTGATTCCCAATCTCAGTCTACAAGTTTTTAAAGCTGAAAGAGGTCTTGAAAATTATGGGGCACACAAGTTTTCAAATTTTACTAGTGTTTTATTCCAAGAAAGTCTTCTCTTAGAGTGTAAACTAGCTAAAGTGGCATTGCCCTTGCTCTCGAACCAGAGAGGAAGAGGCTGAAGTCCCTCCTCAGTCCCAAAGCTTCTCCCTTTGGAGGAGGCCATTGGAACACTGCTCCAGAATTACGTGAAAACCACCCATGTTTCCTGATGTTGTCATTTTACAGAAGGAGACTGCGGAGGCCTGCTAAGTTAGAGTGATAATGCTCACTCTCCAGGATATTCAAGTGGAAAAGTTAGAGCCTAGAGAGACAGCCTCTCAAGTTTTAAACAATTTAAAACTTCAGCATTGAAGGTGAGGTTTGTATTTCCTCGAGGTCAAAGAAAAAGGGGAAACATGATTCACACTGACCTCAAGGAGCAAAGGTACCAACTGCTCAAGGGGAAGTTACACAATGTTGCCAACCCTCCTTCCCTCCCAAAAATCAAACCCAGACTTCGCAGTACTGTGCATCTCACAAATTGTACACTTAGCTGAAGTGTAAACATCTGAAGTAAGGGTACAGAAATCACCTTACCCCTGATTGCACATACATGTCTTTCTCAGGGGTTTTAGGTTATAAAATTCTAAGGCCATGGAATATGTATAAGCAAATCAAAGATTTTTCTCAGTGACCCATCATTCAAAGATGACTGGCCAGATTTCTTTTATGAAACTTGGAGAATATATTTGGGATAGTCTTGTTTCTATTATATGCATACATGAAATTCACTTTAGGGGTCCTAAGAATTATTCAAATTTATAGCCAGTCACCTTCTTGGAGAGGCCATTGGTGAACCTTCCCCCACTGCTTCCCCACTGAGCAGTAGAGATAGACATGCTCTTCGCATTAAAATGCTGCTATGCACAGACAAAACAATACATGGTTTTATGAATATGCAGCAAAGCTCAATAGGAGCTGCAGGGATATACTTTTATTAAACCATGGCTAATGAGTCACCTAACAGCACCAGGTAGACCAGCTAATATTCCATAACTTTAAGTGGATATAAATAAATTACTTAGGTTTATTAGGCTCTAGCCTTCCTTTAGCATGACCTGCTCCCCAACGCAGCTCCACATCAGAGTACAACCCATTAGCCAGATTTCACAGGAGCAGGATCAACTCCATATTCATGCCACTATTTAAGTGAGAGTATAGCTTTTTCTCTTCATGGAATTACTGCCCAAAATAGTTACTCCCAACTTTGATGCTGAGACTCTATTTTGTGATTCCTGAATAGCAAGGTTTCCTTGGCATCAAGTCACTCTACTCTCTAGACTCCATAGCTTAATAGAGGACAGGGCAGTGTGCAGCCTGAGTGTGAGTAGTGGAAAGGCACCTGGGCACACTCTCATTAGCACGTGGGACAGTCTATCCCTCACTTTAAGTTAGAAAAAAAGGGCTCTGGAAACTTAGATCTACATAGGAAATCTCTTGAATCTTAAGCCAGGTTAAAAGACACATATCTGTACTACTGATCCTAGCTAATTTCTAAGGTTAAATTCCTAATGGGTAAGAGCTCAAGACCTCTGGCATTGCTAGGAAACAGATCAGCTCCAAATAATAAAGAAGGTGTGGGAGTCAGGCCTCCAAGTGAGCAAAAGGTGACATCTCAGTGGATGAGAGGAAATCAGCTGTGGGTAGAGCTGGAAGGAAAGAGCCCAGGGCAGGAGAAATAGCAAATGAAAACCTGAGATCTCTACTTTTCTCTGGGAGCTTGCCTCTCATCCACAAGTGAAACCATGGTAGAATCATCCAACTTCTATATGGGCGTAGCATGTATCATACTATGGAAGCCATCCAGAAATTAGAGAACTCAAAATAAAACTTAATGTCCATAAATACTGCTGTTCCCATTCTATGAACATGTGTTTGTGTTGGTTTAAAATATTATAAATGGCTGCTCTTGATTATCAGGAGAAATGGGCCCCATCATTCTGCTTCACCTATATAGAGCAATATGGAAATAAGGCAAGATGCTTCATCCTGGAGGCTGTAGTCCCACTTATTTATTTTATAGTCATTCAACAAATATTTATTACACTTCTCTTAGTAAATCTACTTGCTTACTGAACCGGGTATAATGGAGACAGACAATGTCTCTGTCCTCATCAGGCTTATAAGTAAACAACTGAATTAATAAATAAAACATAATTACAGATTGACTAAGTACAGTGAAACAAGTTGGGTGTTATGTCAAGAGGTGACAAACTTCCTGTGAAGAGCCACACAGACTGTGGGTGGGCTATATGGCCTCTGTGGTATCTAGTCCACTCCATCCTTGCCGCCTAAACATAGCCATATACCATATATATATACATATATATATGTATATACACATATATATATGTATATATATGAACAGGTTGGCTGTGTTCCAATAAAACTTTATTTATCAATCCTAAAATGTGAATTTTTTGTAATTTCCATATATCATGAAATAGCATTTATTTATTTAAACTATTTTTAAAAAAGGTTAGCTTGGTGAGCTATACGAAATCAAGTGGAGGATCAGATTTGGCCTGTAGACATGCTTTGCTAAGGTCCGAATGTTTGTTTCCACCCAAAATTCATGTGTCGAGATCCTAATGTCCAACGTGATGGTATCAGGAAGTACGACCTTTAGGGGGTGCTTCGGTTATGAGGGTGGAGCCCTCAGGAATGGGCTTAGTGCACTTTTAAAGAGACCCTACGGAGCTCCCTAGCTGATGCTGCTGTGTAAGGACACTAAGAGAAATCAGAAGTCTGAAGCTCGCACCCCTGATCTTGGACTTCTAGGCTCCAGACGGTGAGAGAGAAATCTCTGTTGTTTATAAACCACCCAGTCTGTGGCATTTTGTTATAGCTGCCTAAATGAACTGACATGCCCTTTGCCTTAACCCCTGGCTACGTGACGCAGGGAGAAGGGATGCAGTTAACTTGGCTGGAGTTTGGTACGGCTTCTTTGAAAAGGTGACATCTCAGTAGATGAGAGGAAATCAGCTGCGGGTAGAGCTTGAAGGAGAGCTATTTCTCCCAAGGCAGGAGAAATAGCAAATGAAAAACCCCAAGCAGTGAAAGCCCAGAAACCCCATGTTGTACATTGGGGTTTGGTAAGGAATGAAACATTGAAGCCAAAAACCTTTAAAAATAGATGTCTTACTGCATTTGTGGATATTGATCTCCAGTCATTAGTTGATAAATGCTGTAAAAGGGATGGCATAAACGTGGCATAAATGATCCTTTAATGAAATCTCACATTCTTTGTTATCATCTCTGGGTTGATTGAATGATGGGTTGATTTTTTTTTCTTCTGTGTATGATTACTTGGCAGAGTAAAAGATGAATCATTTAAAATCTCTGTGTCAATTAAAGTGAATTATCCTGTAGAAATGGTAGACATTTTTCATTGAATGTTTTTACTGTATGTCTATGTCATTGAGTACGTAACCATACGTTTGCCGGCCAAATGTTATCATTCACTTGGGTAGGCTTTGTACAATGAGATTATGTGCAAAGATGAATAAAATATACTTAGTTGTATATCCATTCAGAAGTCTATTCATCAGTGTTCTACTTATATATAAAAGGCTTTTATGTTACCGCAGACTTGTAACCTGGCCATCTGGATAGTACGATTGGAGAACATCTATAAAAGTGAATGATGAAAAGAAATGTCCAAATACTGTTTTATATAGTGTTTTTTTCTGAACGCATACTTCATTTGTGATCTCAAAGCTGGCACAGAAAAAAAAAAAAAGAAATAGGAAAAATTACTTGCAGAGACACCTTATGTGGAAGAGAGATGATTATTTCTGTCTATATTTTAAATCCATGACAGAACTCCAAATCTTACCCAGATGCTGGTAAAGGGGAACATTTTCTTCATGTTAGAAATAATACCCAGAGAACACACCCATCTGTCTGTTGTAAGAAAATGTCCAAGTCACATGTTTATCAAGAGAACCCAAAGTGTTAGTGAGAGCTAAAATATGCCAAGAACAACAACAACAAATATCAAAGAAAATAGTGGGCAGTAGGGTTTTAAAATGTGTTTCTGGTAAAAATGGTATCTAGGGTGTCTGTTATATGCAAAATACCTCACGATATTAAATTTATGATGTTAAAACAGTGTTTAAAAAAAGGATGGCTAGGAGATTCCTCATCTCAGATGTGAAATAGAAAAATGTTGGATGATATCGTTAAACCACTTGGTGTCTATTTCAAATTTTAACCAGGTGAATAAACATATCTTAGTTCACAGATCTTTGACCTTTGTTAACCTGTATCACTGCATAGTTTAAGGATGTGGCATTGTGTAGGAATTCAAGTGTTTTAGGTTTTATAGTGGGTTGTGACAATCTTTGGACATAATTTTAATTAAATTCAACAATCACTGACCTTACTCCTTATGGGGTCCTAAATATGAAGATGAACAAAACTGAAATATTTCCCCCAAGATTTCGTGTCCATCCAAAAAAACAATCTCAAAGAACTCAAACTTGAAGCAGGGAAGTTAAATGCTATAATAGAGGGGGAAAGTGTGAAGGGAGCAGAGGTAAGGAAATGGTTAATTCTGCAGGAAGAAACTGGGAACGTTTCATAGATGAGCTGGCATGTGAGCTAGGCCTGCAACAATGAGGATACAGGGGAAAGCATCCGGCCACAGACTTTCTCATCCATGGGAAACCATCTTACAGATTTTGGAGCAGGAAGTGCTCTGATCAGTTCTGATTTGTTTTTGTTTTTCACAGTTTTTTAAAAGTTGTAAAATGGAGTAAACTTACAGAAAAGTATGTACCTTATAAAGGTTGGATATCTGGCTTTTTCTGAAACGAATTCCTGTAGGAGTGACTCTCCTCCTACCAAGGGAAAAACAAAATAAAGCATTAGTGCAGAACCCCAGAACTTCCTGAGTCAGAGCTGGCTTCGTGGGGGTCCAACGTGAGTGAGCAATGGCACCAGGCCTGGCGCTGGGCGGGGTCCCTCTCTTGCCTTAGTGTTCTACTGCTGCATCTTAAAATTCTTAATAATTTTGAACAAGGGATCCTGCATTTGCATTTGATCCCCCAAATTATGCAGCCTTTCCTGTCCCCAACCCTCATTCTCTAACACATTCAAATGTGCAGTTTCCCTCCCGAGTGCTAACCATTATTTTTTATTTTCTTTATGTAGTTTATTCCCTAATTACACAGGAACAAACAAAATAGTTTAATTTTGTTTTTTATGTACATTATGTAAATAGAATTACACACTATGCATTTGGTTGTGTCTGGCTTTTTTCACTCAACATCTTGTGGGAAAGAATCATCATATTGTGATTCATTCCTTTTCTCAGTTACATTTGTGATGAGCTCCATCTACCAGATTACACAGGATTGATTGGTACGAAGGAAAGAACAAGACTGGGAGCAAAGGGACCAGGAAAAGAGAGGCTGGAGTTATTGAAAATTACAATGTGAGAGCCTGGGACCTATAAATAATACCACAGGAAAATCTCTGCTCTCTAGAAACCAGTATTTCAGAACCCTCAGACTTTTAGAAGTACTGCAGAGCAGAACAAACTTATTCCAAAACAACAGCAACAACAACAAAATCCTGTTTTGGGGCAAAGAAGCGGGCCCTGAGCATCTAGCAACAGATGACAGTTAAGTTTGTTCAACAAACCAAAAGTTATCCCCAGCATGCCATGTTAGCCAAGAGAGAAAAGTATTCTAATCGTATATACACACATTGATATATATACAATATATACATTTTTATATTGCTCACATACACTTCGTATGGTGCACATGAACTAAGGTATAGAGGTAGCATAGACAAGAAATAAGAAAGTAATTTTTTATGACCTGAGGCTGTGCGGCAAAGTTGGCTGCACCTGGGATCCTGGCGTCCGTGATTAGAAATGGATGGGACAGTGCCAAGGGGCGAGGACTAGAGACAAAGCCAAGTAAGACTGGACGACTCTGCAGAGTGGGTGGTGGGCAGTGGCTTTTACCATGTACTCCTTATATCCATGATTGGGGCTGCATTTTCTGGGTGATATTAAAATTACCAGAAGCCTGGGGCACCTGGGTGGCTCAGTGGTAAGCGTCTGCCTCTTGATTTCGGCTCAGGTCATGATCTCAGGGTCATGAAATCCAGCCCTGCCTCGGGCTCTGTGCTTAGCACCAAGTCCACTTGGGATTTTCTCTTTCTCCCTCTCTCTCTCCCCTCCCCCATCTGCCCCTCCCCCCCCATGCCAGCACACACGCACGCACGCACGCACGCACATGCACTCTAAATAAATAAATAAAATCTTTAAAAAAATAAAATAACCAGAAGTCTTCTAGTAGAAGACAGGATCTATTTACAGCAATATTTTATTTAGTTGGTAGCCCCTGAAGATATATCAGACAGTACAGGTTAGCATTCTGGGAGAGACATTCATTATTAAATACACGTGACTTTTTTTTTTTTTAAACACAAGTGACCTTAACTAACAAAACCATCCCCAGTGCAGTAGAATGCTAAGGCGATGCCGCGCAGCCAGCCGTGTTCCACAGCATGCATTCCACACTAGCACTAGGGAAAAGCAAAAGGCAGAAGCATTTTTAAAAACTGTGCTAATCTAAAATAAAAAGGTGAGCTTACCCTGAAAAGGGTAAACATGTGAAAATGATTACAAACAAATAATATTTGTCCAATTAATTTTTTCTATGTCCTTATTCTGTTGCAGGAACTGCACTGGGCAGTTTCACATAGGGTATGTATTGTCCTCATAACAACCATTTATATCCCCACTTTACAGATGATGACACTGAGGCTTGAAGAAGTTCAGTTAGTTACCTTTTGCTATACAACAGCTTACCCCCAAATTCAACAACTTAAAATAAGGAATGTTTATTATCTCACAGTTTCTGAGGGTCAGGACTCTGGGAGCAGCTTAGCGGAATGGTTCTGGCTCAGGGTTCTTTCATGAGGCTGTAGTCAAGCTGTTGGCTGGAGTAGCAGTCATCTGAATGCTGGAGGATATTAACTTCCAAGTTCACTTTCTGGGTGACTGGCAGGCCTCAGTTACTCAGAGCAGTTGGAGTAAGGACCTCAGGTCCTAGTCACATGGGCCTCTCCACATGTTTGCCTGGATGTCCTGAAGACAAGGCAGCTGACTTCTACACTGAGAAATTCAAAAGAGAGAGAGCCCAAGGCAGAAGCAGCAGTCTTTTATAACATAATCTTAGAAGCGATACATCACCATTTTGTACTGTGGTCCATTGGTCAACGCTGAAACACTGTGGGAGGGGACTATTCAGGGGTATGAATGCCAGGAGGTGGGAACAGCGGGAGCCATCTTAGAGACTGGCTACCACAGAAGTTAAATAAGTCACCCAGTTTTACATCTAGGAAGTGACTGAGCCAAAATTTGAAAGTATGTCTGTCAGACTAAAATTCCTTTCTACTTTATAGGAGTTGCCGGACATCTAATTTTTTTTTTAAGTTTTTTTTGTTTTGTTTTGTTTTTGTTTCTTTGGCAAGTTTTTGTATAAACCAAAGCTGGGCTACCCAAAACGTTGTATCATATACACAACCAGACTTGAAAACAAATAAGGATTTTTTAAATGTGATTTTTCAATGAACAGATAAGGGATTGTACTTACCTCTCATCCAATATTTATTGAACAGGCATGAAAAAATGATGTGCACATTCAATTGCATAAAAAATCCCGAGTTTCAGAAGACTGGTCTGATGTTTGTCATAAACATTGTAGGCTGACTTACCCAACACCATTCTTTATTTATTTCTCTCTTATCTTCCTTCACTGTAAAAGGTGGAAAAGTTAAATGGGAATTTTCCCAGGCTCCTTTGCAGCTAGAAGAGCATTCAGTGCAGCACTGCCCCAGGAAATTTAACTGAAGTCTCCTGGTGCTTTTGTTCCTTGATAAAGTGGAAGGTCCTCCTTGTGCATCCTTGGCCCCTCCCTCCCAGCCCCACCTTCTTCCTGCCACAAAAGCAGCCTTGATCACTGGGTCTCATTTCTCTTCACTGAGCTGTTGAACCACATCCAGAAGAACTCCAATTCCAGACTTCTTGTTATGTGAGAAATAAACTTTTGTTTGGCCTCCCCATCCCTTAGCTGGGTTTCCAGTTAAGTGCAGCCATAAGTATTTCTAATTCTTTCAGTGTGAGGCAACTTTAGAAGATGTTAAAAAAAGATCAGCAAATCCTAAGGGAAAGAGGGGGTGTTAGAAAAGTTTTGTGGCTTGTTAAGAAAACTTATTTCTAAACAGTTTGCCATGTAACCTAAATTCCTACATTATGCCAGCTGAGGGGTAAGATAGCCACAGTGATGTATCTTATAATTATTATTTTTCCTTAGATTCTAACAACAGCGTGGGAAGTTAATCTTTTGCAAATAGTGCTGGAACCTTCTAGGGGCGTCTCTCCTGCCCTTTCCCCGACCAGCCCTGACCAGCCTCCCTGACTGCTCTATGGGTTGGACCATTCCCTTTTCTCCTGTGTCAGCTCATTATATTGAGGTCTTCGCCGCAGCTGCCAATGCCCAAAGTGACAATTTTTCTGCTGCTATCCACTGAAGAGATATGTGCTGCTGTAGAGGTCCACCCCGGGACCCTCTGTAGTGGCTGCAGTTGCCAAAATACCACAGGCCCCAGCATCAAATGTTGCAGAAGCTGTGGGCCAAACGCTGCTGGCGTCTCAGTGGTTTAAAGACTGTGCTTCTCTATTGCACTTTTCTTTCTGTTAGGGAGTCTCGCCAGGGCAATCCCAAAGGGTAACCTGAGAGGTGAGCACTACATTGAACGGACATCTCTCTTTCTCTCTGATGATTTCTGCTGTCCTTGCATCACATTTATGAGCCTTGACAATCTCTTCTCTTACTTCTCCAGTGGTACCTTGGTCCCTTATAAAAGCGTGCATTCACTGGCCTGATTTACTGGCTGTGACCTTCCTCCCCTGGCTTGCCCACCTCTTAGAATGAAACCACCTTAGGCTCAAGCTGTAATTCTTGAAACATAAAGGTCATATAAAGTTGGCCTAATTTAACTTGTAGCTTTATACACTAATAAAAGTGTATCTGAATTAAACAGAATAAAAATAGACTATTTAGTATTTGGGAAATTACATGGCACAGTCTCAAAGCATCCTAGAGGTTATCTGTTGCCTACAGAGTACAAATAATGCTGGGAGAGTCAAAGATAGTCTCGCTTGTCCAACCCAACCTCTTCCCAGCATTTTAATTGACGTTTAACGAAGGATCTTCTCAGTACCATAGGCTTACCGAGGATAACAAAACTATTGTTTTTACAAAATTATTCAGCTTAGCCAGAGGAAATACAGTGGTGTCTGTGAATGTTATTTCTATCTTCCAGCCACCAAATATTAACTCGCTGGGTCACCCTATAGGAAACGTGTTACTCAAGATAGGAAATTTTACTACATATGAGGTTCAATGAGAAAGTAGATTTATCAGACATGTAATTTTCAGAAATTTCCATTCCATTATTACAATGAATATACAACTTTAAATGTTGCTTATGCCTGGTATTCTATTCAAACCAAACACTGAGAACAGTTGAGAGAAAATTTCAGCCTAAAACCATGTCAGCAAAAGTATCTTTTTTTTTCCTTTTTCCTGATAAAGAATTTACAGCCGTGAGAATAATTCAGTTCCCAAACACAGTAGGACACATGGAAAGAGTGAGGGGCAGATTTCTTATAAGCCCCAGGGAAAACTTAGGGCAAAAGAGATGGAAGCCTGGGTGCAAAGTGACAAAGAAAGCACAAATGTGTTAATGATGCAGAAGTCACAGCGAGGCTTTGAATGGTGCTGACACATCAAAGGGCACTGTGTGCCACAAAGAGGAAGATCATTTCTGGAGAAGGACAAAACCATTTGGGAGAATGCAGCTGAAGCCCTTGATTCACTCGTTAATTGTGCAGACAGGCTGCTGTGTTTTGCTGCCCAGAGGTCACGAACCTGAACATGCTTCATCCCACCTTCTGGACAAACAGGCAAACAACCCCAAACCAGGCTGTGCTCAGGGACTTTGTTGAGAAAGCAACTTCCTGGGCAACTTTAGCATACGAGAGACAAATATTCCCATCAAAACCCATTAAATAAAAGGGGAAAATTCTTTGATAAATAAGTACTTAAGATATTTGTCTTATTTGACTTTTTATTTCTTGGCTATAGAATACGTGAAGCCCTACACTGAGCTGGAAGTTAAAATAGCCACAAGAAAACCAGAACTAGTTTTCTACATTTTAAATAATTCTATACTAAAAGACATAGAATAGAAAACTATAAATATATAAATAAAAGACAATAAAATAAAAATAAAAGACAATAAAATAGAAAACTAAAAAAAAGTTAGGGTTTTTTTGGGGGGGGTCATTTGTTATTTTCATTTTATTCTCCTTTTTTATACATTCCAAATTCCTTACAGTAACCATATACTACTTCTCTAATGAAAATAATATAACTCTTTTTCTTATTGTGACAGAACCCCCTACACAAGTACATTTTCTAGACAAATACTTCACTACTCAAAATGACTCATTTTCTGAGCTTAAGTACTCAAGGTTTTATTTTAATTTAGCATGCAATAGAAAGAAAAACTCAAGAGACTGCATACGTAAGACAGTTTTATTGAGTTCATTTAATTTCCCATTAGTAATGAAACTTTTCTTCACATAAGTCAGTGGTTTGTGTGTGTATTTTCACAAAGGTTGGCATATGGGAGATAAGCAGTTAATTTTGTAATTATTTATTTGTATGTGTTGATACAAAGCCCTCAGGAATTTTAATAGAATATGACCAGAAGAGTTATCAAGATCCTTCCTAAAAAAAAAAAAAAAAAAGGAAGTTGAATTGGCATCTTCACAGATTCACGTAAACCAAATTTAGCACCTTTAGCAACTTCATGTTGCGAACCACACAGTCACTGTTAAAAACAGTTTCATTTCTACTCTGATTCCCAAGCCCACACCTGACCTCCTTCTTTCAGCAGATGCCTTGCCATTTCTGTTTATGGAGAGATGTTTGCTTGTTGCTTGAACTTCCTCAACGTCTCACCCTCTCAGCTCCAGTTCAGGTCTCTTGGCTTTTCTTGACTGTTGAAGAGAAAGGATGTGTTTTTGGCATTCCTACTCGAGGCCTCAGACTCCTCCTCTGTTCTCTCCTCAAAACTTCCATTCAGCGGACATCCTATTGCTTGGATTTCCATCTCTCCATCTTTACTGATGCCCTCCTTTCAAATGAAAAACAGAGCAAAATGGGACCATAAAAAATGAAACCTTAAAAAAGCTCAAAGGAAACACTAGTTAAAATGTTTACCTAGAGGTGCATCGGCTAAAACTACAAACATGATGAAATAAACCTCTACTTTCTATAAATGTAGAGGACAGGTAGGTACTTATGTTCTTAAGGACTTAGAAGATTCATAGTCTAAGAAACCATCCAGCTGTTTGAAGGCCCAACTTCAGCATCACAGAAGCTCAGCAGTCCCACTGTAGGAGCAAAGGCCAAGGGATGGTACCCTTGTTTATGCAACATACATTGTCAATGGTTAAGCAGTCCTTACCCGGTAACTTTTACATTAGATTGTTTTCAAAAAATGCCTTTTCGTGTTATGTGCAACATTAAGTCATCTTCAAAGGAAGGGTTTATCCATTGGACACGTGGGTATCTTTCTTCAAGACCACACTGATTTTGTGCTTTCACCCAAATAAAAGTAGACTCTGCTCATCTTTTTTTTTTTTTTTTTTTTTGCGAGAGAGAGAATGAGAGAGAGCACGAGAGGGAGGAGGGTCAGAGGGAGAAGCAGACTCCCTGCCGAGCAGGGAGCCCGATGCGGGACTCGATCCCGGGACTCCAGGATCATGACCTGAGCCGAAGGCAGTCGCTTAACCAACTGAGCCACCCAGGCGCGCAAGCATTCGACTCTTGGTTTCAGCTCAGGTCACGATCTCAGGGTGGTGGGATCGAGCCCCGAGTTGGGCTCCACGCTCAGTGTAGAGTCTGCTTGAGACTCCCTCCCTCTCCCTCTGCCCCTTCCCCCTCGTGTGCTTGCATGTACACTCTCTCTCTCTCAAGTAAAATAAATAAAATCTTTAAAAAAAAATGGTTCAGCTCTTTTATTTTTTAAAGATTTTATTTATTTGCGAGAGAGAGAATGAGAGAGAGAGAGCATGAGAAGGGGGAGGGTCACAGGGAGAAGCAGACTCCCTGCCGAGCAGGGAGCCTGATGCGGGACTCGATCCCGGGACTCCAGGATCATGACCTGAGCCGGAGGCAGTTGCTCAACCGACTGAGCCACCCAGGCGCCCCAGACTCTGCTCATCTTAAAAGTCATTTGTATGACTCAGGGAGACTGAAACATTAGTATACATTTTCCTAAGAATCCAGGAAGTGTTCTCTCTCACCAAGGATTAATATAATCTTCTACTACAAGCGGAGTTTGGAAAAGGAATAAAATGCGATTCACATGTTCTCCAATAAATGCTGCCGGAGGGCCTCCCGTGTAGGCACCCTGCTAGGCGTACAGGGACAGAGGTGTCTCCAAAGACAAACCAGATATGGACTCGCCCTCAAGGCATTCACACGGTGCTGGGCGACAAGACACAGACATGTAAATAATTATGGTACGGGATAGATAATGATTCACGCCGTAAGTGAGGCAAAGACACCTAACAGATTTCACAGGAGGAAGCGACCAACCTTAAAAATCTGTGCATCAGCAATTTCCTTACTTCATTTTCAGTCCGAAAGCCCTAGTGCAAATCTTTCTGTGGGAGACCATCTGAAGGTAGTAAAAGTTACTACTGAAGAATCCCTAATAGAAAGTATTCAAACTGGGCGCCTGGGTGGCTCAGTCGTTAAGCGTCTGCCTTCAGCTCAGGTCATGATCTCAGTGTCCTGGGATCGAGCCCTGCATCGGGCTCCCTGCTCCGCGGGAAGCCTGCTTCTCCCTCTCCCACTCCCCATGCTCGTGTTCCCTCTCTCACTGTCTCTCTCTTTCTAATAAATAAATAAAATCTTAAAAAAAAAAAAAAAGAAAGTATTCAAACTGTGGCATCTTTCTGGTACTCGTACCAAGGTTCAATAATACCCACCCACATGACCACCTGAAGTCCTGAGGGTGGTATCTTCTAGATGGGGCTGGGTCAGGGTAGTAATTGCCATGCGTTTATGGGGCACTGCAGCTTTAAAAGCATGTTCCCATCCATTATCTATTAATTATTATCCCCAAGGACAACCTGGCACCATGTAAAGTGCTGCTAGGATACCAGGGTTCTAATTCTGCTCAGTTCTCTCTGATGCAAAATGAGGGGTTTGGTCACTAGACTCTCTCCAAGGTTCTGCATGTAGCTAAGTGGGTAGGGCAAATTTTATTATCACCATTTTATAGACCAGGAAACTAAAGTGAGGAGAGCTCAAGGGACCTGCTGATAATAACTGATACCCGGTTCTTGAGATTAGACACCAGACCTGAAAAGGACAAAGTATTTTGTACTATGTCATACTGAGAACCACACCCAGTATTTGTGGGCAAGAGGACAAAGAGAGGCCCACATAGCAGTAATCTAAGTATTTAAGTTATAAATCAAGATAACGAACTGTTAACAAAATATACTTGATCTCTCCTCCCACCCTGACAAATACCTCTTTACAAGAACCTGGATGGTGAGGTGTGAATCATGAATTCCTGGACTCTTCTAAGGAGGAGGCTGGAAAGGGGCAGGGAAGGGAAACCTGACTCCACTGAGCCCTCTTCCCGCACCTAGTAGGGGCCCAAAGTGCCTGGGAGTGCACACCTCAGCCCTCAAGTCCAAGCACTGCCCACACTCCAACAAAGAGCCATTCCTGGACCCAAGACTGACCTGAGTTCAAAGGTCCCATCAAGTCCTGGGGGAGGGTTGGTACTCTTTGGGCAGAGGATTCCAGAATTCTGACTCCCTGCAGCATCCTCTAGAAGAGGGTTCGGGTTCCTTGACCCCATGGGAGGGGGGGGCATTACAAGAGAAGAACCACAGGGGAGAGGTCCCTCTTGCTTGGGTTTAAGAGACAGTCTGATCACACTACCTGAAGACTGAACCTAAGAAAGAGTAAAATCCGGGAACTGTCTTGTGAGAAGGTAGTATGGCTTAGTAGTTACAAACCAGGTTCTGCAGCTAAACACCTGGGTTGGGATCCTACCTTGGCCCCTCACTGGCTGTGAAATCACAAGCAAGTTACCCAGTATCTTCTAGGAACTCAGTTTCTTCACCTTTAAAATAGATATAATAATTATTATGTGGAGTATATGAGACATGTAAAACGTTTGCCAGACATTAAATGCTGGGTAAATAAATGTTGTGGGGGTTCTCTTCAGCTGCGTTAGGTGAATATGCCTTTGAGAGGTTTTTCTGGAGAATTATATAAGCATAGTTATATCCAGGTTCTCTGATAGTCAAGGTTAAACGGTTCTCTCCACTAAAATGGTGGGGCAGGGGGCAGGGGTGGGCACCACCTACCCCACCCAAGGCGGTGGCTGCCGCCCACGTCCCGCCAGGTCGGGTGGCGGGGGACTTCACGCTGCAGATTCTGAGCTACAGCCAGGGACTCGCAAACGTGGCCGTGAGTCACGGCGGGACTAAGGAACTGAAACCAAACGTTAGCACACAGCCTGGTTCGTCTGTCTGATGCGCAAGGGAGTGGGAAGTAGCATCGGATAAAAAAAAGGCAAGACTCAGAGCCTGGGTTGACGCAGCTCAGTCCCCTCCTACCCGCTTCACTTTAGGGCTCACGCAAACTTCGCCGAGTCTTCTGACAGGTCTTGACATCTCTCCTCCGCTAGGAAGGAGAGAGACTCAGAGCAAGTCGAGGCATCTCCCTCGCACCTCCCGTGAGTGCGAGCCCAGCCAAAATTGCAGACCGCCCGCCCAAAACGAAGGCGTTTTATAAGGGCAAGCCTGGGCATTCCCCCACCCCTCCGAGTGACACGAACTCAAAGTGGCCCATTTCCACACCCTAGTCCCCCACTTCCCTCCCTGCAAAACACTTGGCAACTTTGCTGTTGCTTGTGGACCAAGAACTGTAACTAGACCTTTCTGCTCCCTTTAAGGGACAGTCGTGACTGGGCACTGCGAAGTCATACTCTCTCGAAAACACCAACAAAGAACTATATTTAGCTCTGAGCTCTCCGCCTAAATTCCTCTTATTTTTTCACTCGGAGCTTCAAAACGACTAGGTTGGGGAAGTGGGAGGAAGGGGGCGGGGGAGCAGCAGAGAAAGAACAGCTGTGCCTCCGCCTCCCAACTCAATCTCTATAAATAACCAATCGTGAGCCGAGGCTACTTTTTAGCCAATGAAGCAACCCAAACTGGTAAAACCTTGGCGGTAGCCAATGGAACAACAGTTAGGGGTGTGAGATTTGCGCCCCGGAACCAATGGGCCCCGAGTCTGGGAGAGGTAATTTGAGCTGGAGTGTGGGTGTGTGGTGCAAAAGCTTCCTATTTCTAAGCCCGAAAACCTGTTCTGCCCACTGAGCATGCCCTGACTAGCTGCAGGCGCCACCACGACTTTTGGATTGGGTTTTCGTCCGACCTCCGGGTTTCCGCCCCAGCCGAGTGGGGACGTGGGTGGGACGCGCCAAGTCTCAGCCCCTGAGAGCTCCGGTCCCGAGAGGCAACCCCTTCCCCTGTCGGGACAGGATTTCAAGCCCCGAGTTCCCGTTTTCTTTGTCGAGGAGATGAACTGCAGGAGGAGTGGCCAGAGAAGGCCGAGTGGTGTTTCCGAGGCGAAGGGTTTAGAAAAAGCTGCACCGTGGGTGGGCAAAGATGCTCCACCCGCTGCTCTCGCACTCAGATGCCCTTTGCGTCTCCGGCCCTGAGACGGCGCACACTCGCTGCGGGCTCGGAGAGTGGAGTCCACGAGCTTTTGATACCCGGAGTCCGCAAGAGCACAGCCCAACCCTTCACGGGAGCGGCCCACCGCGCCCACGCGCTTCTCGCAGAGCCACCGCCCTTATGCACGCACCCGTTCTCCCACACCTCCATCCTCTCACCTGAGCTTTCCCAGCACCCCTCAAACACCTACACACTCCCACACATTTCTCATCCTGCTCCTGGACCAGAGCCTCTCGCAAGCCGCTCCACCAAACTCAAATCGTTAGCCCCACCCTCAGCCCCGCCCCCGCCCGGCCCCCCGGAAAACCAGGAGCGGCGGATCAGCCGGGCGCGGCCGTCGGCTCACTGGGCATGCTCGCCTGGGCGGGGAGGGCCGGGCTGCGCGCGGCGAGTAGGAAGCCCTCGCCCCGCGGAGGCTGCGGGAGAGAGAGCGCGATGGGCCGCGGCGGTGGGCGCACGCTCTACGGGGACTCATGCCACGCGCGTTCCGGCCCGGCGCGCAATTAGCAGCCACCTCCGCAGCCCACCGCCACCACCTTTTCGCCCTCCCGGGCGGCCGCAACGAAAAGCTGCAACCGTCGCCTCGCACAGGCTGCCGGCATTGTCCTCCAGGTCCGCCGCCAAGGCTACCGCTGCCGCCGCGGGTTGCTGCGGGGCCCCGGACCCGCGCCCCAGGGACGCGCCGCCGCCTTCGCCAGCCCGGCCCCCGGCCCCCGGCTCCCGGCCCCCGGCCCCCGTTTGGTGATTTCTGAGCCCTGCGTTCCCTAGCCACTCTCTCCTAGGTTTTCCCTGCAAGGCTGAGGAAAAGGAGACTTCGTCCAGCCGCCAAGCCTAGGCTTCCTCCGGCGCGCAGCCCCGACGGGGCCGCGGCAGGCGCGGCGAGAGCGCCGACGGAGCCATGAGAGAGTACAAAGTGGTGGTGCTGGGCTCGGGCGGCGTGGGCAAGTCCGCGCTCACCGTGCAGTTTGTGACGGGCTCCTTCATCGAGAAGTACGACCCCACCATCGAGGACTTCTACCGCAAGGAGATTGAGGTGGACTCGTCGCCGTCGGTGCTGGAGATCCTGGACACGGCGGGCACCGAGCAGTTCGCGTCCATGCGGGACCTGTACATCAAGAACGGCCAGGGCTTCATCCTCGTCTATAGCCTCGTCAACCAGCAGAGCTTCCAGGACATCAAGCCCATGCGGGACCAGATCATCCGCGTGAAGCGGTACGAGCGTGTACCCATGATCCTGGTGGGTAACAAGGTGGACCTGGAGGGCGAGCGAGAGGTCTCGTACGGCGAGGGCAAGGCCCTGGCCGAGGAGTGGAGCTGCCCCTTCATGGAGACGTCGGCCAAAAACAAAGCCTCGGTGGACGAGCTGTTCGCAGAGATCGTGCGGCAGATGAACTACGCGGCGCAGCCCAACGGGGACGAGGGCTGCTGCTCGGCCTGCGTGATCCTCTGAGGCGCCCGCGGCTGCCGCGCGCCGGCCGCGCTCTGCGCACAAAAGCCAAACGCACCCGACTCTCGCAATGTGATTTTTCTTTTTGCTTTGAGATTGGAGACGACTTTGCATTGGCCGGGGTGTCCCGGGAGCCCGGCTGGCCTCTGCGGCCGGCGCCCCCTGCTTCCGCCCCGTGTCCGAAGGGGTTCCCCCGTCCTCACCATCCGAGACCCGGTGGAAATGTGGCTCTTGGAAGCATGTACGTTTCTCATTGATTTTGGTTGACGCGTATTTCCCCGTTTAAATAGCCGTTAGGGCGCTGTATTGGCAGCTTGACACCAGCAAGCGAAAGTTTCAGCCTGGAAAAAAAAAAAAAAAAAGTGGGGTGGGGAGGAAGAGTACGGGGAGAAGGTGGAAAGGGAGGGGGGATTTTTTTTTTTTTTTTTTTTTTCCCCCCAACAACCCTTTTCTAGTTCCAAGTTTTAAATACATGGAAGGAAGTCCGGGAGAACCAAATGAAGGAGCAGGAGGAAGGGAAGAAACTTTTGTTTTTTCCTTGTTTTCCAGGAGTAGCTGGAAATTAAGATCGGGTTCCTTTTCTGCCAGCTTGGAAGGGCAACCGTGTGACTGATTGTGATTCTAAGGATGTCTATGCAAAGTTGGATTCTTATTACAGTGTATCCAATCTGAAGTATGCACATCTGAACTGGGACTGTAAACACTGATGCCAATACAGTGTGGGGTGCCAGAAAGTGTCTGCTGATATTTGTGGGAAAAAAAAAAAATCTATTTTGTTTACCTACTGTATCAAAGGGGAGTCTGGGGGAGAACGGTAGTATTTTTTTTTTTTATCAGCTGTGAAAAAAAATGTTACAGATCTGCACATTTTTGTGTGTACTGTTGTGTGCGTGTGTGTGTTTTTTGTTGTTTTTTTTTTTAGTTTAGCTTTTTGTTCTTTTTGGTTGGCAGTGACACGTTTTGATGACTAGCTCTTTAAAATACAGTACAAAGACTTCAAAAATGTGATTCAGGGCCCCCAGCACCCCTGTGTCTGCAGAGTGCCTTCAAAACTCAGCTGTTCCAGCCGGTGCCAACCTGTGAACTTCCCACCATATCCCAGAATCTGCTCTTCCCCAAACCACTTCCTAGTTTCCTTTCTGTAATCTTCCTGAAGGAGCCAGGACAATAGGGCCTGTTGTTTGGTGAATTTCTTTATTATTTCCAGCCTTTAAAGTGTAATTTCCATGTCTTGCAATGTTTTTTGTTTTTTTTTTTTCCCTTCTTTCTTTCTTATTTTGCTTCATTGTGTTCAAATGTTCAGGTATTTAGCTCCCCTTTTATATTATTTTTAAAAAATTTTTTGGTTATCTGTTCTAGGGTGTTCCTCCAGAAGCAAAGAGCAAAATTTTACTGTTGTGATGTACCAAGAGAATTCTAACTAATTGTAATTTTTAATTCCAGATACGCGTTTAATCATTGTCTCTTCATTTTAAGACTTTTAATACAAATGTCATTTTTAAAGAAACAAACCCAAAACTATTGTTTGTGTTTCTGTGTTTCATATTCAGTGATTTAATATAGGATCATGGCTGAAGTGGATAGGGGCAGGTGCATGATGCCCCCAACAGAAATACCTCAGTGACAAGTTGGGTGACATTACTTCCAACTCCTTAAATATGGGAGAAAATCATAAAGGTCTAGGCAGCCCTGGGGGTATGGCCATTATCATTTGACTACAAGATAGGCAGGATATTGAATCTGTTCTGCTAACAGGGAGGGGTTTACTTCACTGTGGGTAGAGAAGGGGAGAAACCAACTGCTAATACTGCCTTCGATTTGGTAAAGTCACTCATCACCTGACCAGGCAGGGCAGTGCTTTTAACTTTTCTTTCTTTTCTTTGTCTTTCTTTCCTCTTTTTTTTTTTTTTCCAGTGTTTTGTTTTGTTTAATTACATCACATAACAAGTCAAAAACATGTTTGAGGAAGGTCATTTCCAACCCTGAAGTTACACCTAGTAGTGTTTTCTGCAGTACATTTGTATGGGTGGCACACAGTATCTTAGTACTTGAGGTTTTGATTTAAAAATAGGTCATTATATTAAAAAGAGAAAGAAAAAACTAAGATAAATTCTTTACTCCCATTAAATGGCAATTTGTGGACCATTTTGACCTCATGAAATTTTCCTTCTAACAGTAGGAGGCAGTGTGAGCTTTTTACTCTATTTTATTTCAGTTAAGGGCCACTTTACTAATATAACCTCTGTAGAATAAAATAAAGTATATGACTATACATCAAGAGCACATGATACACCTTAGCTGTGTGAAGTGTAGGTGAAGTCGTCTGTTGGGGAAGCCAAAAGAAGTTACAGGCCACAGGCATTTTTAAAGCTATTAACATCTTGCCTTAAAATGTTCTGTCCTTTGCCCAGGTGACCTGTCACTCTTCCAGCATGGAGGAGGAATAGAGAATAGGCCTGTGAGGTCCAATGGCCATTTTTTTCATTCTTGATCTCACATAAGTTTAGAATCACTCAGTTGAAAGGCAGTATGTATATGATAAATACAGAAATTAAGAGAAACATTCATGTCTTTGCAAATGTTAAGTCTTGCATTTGAGTAAATTTTAGTTCTTCAGTAGATGTAAAGTGTTGAAAATTCTGAAGACCTATACCAAGTGCTATGTGAAGGATTTTTTAAAAAAGACATTTGGTGACTGTTTCTTACAGCTTTGGTTCTTGTTTGTTTGTTTGTTTCTTTAGAAACCTTTGACATAAAGCGCTGCCAAATATCTAACTAACTTAAGACGTATATACTCCTGAAAGGAGTTTGAAAATGTTTGAAAACGGCAAATTGGAAATGAACTAGGTTGCTAGATGCATTAATCATCTTCACACAGGATTTAGTCACTTGCATGACTAAATACTTTATAGGTCTGAGATGCCAGGGCAGAAGATTTTAATATGCTTCTACTGAGGACTGTAAAATAAATGCTTTCTGGATTCTCAATGAAAGCAATTCTGTGTGTGTGCCTGGAGCAGAAATGTAGTAGTTCTGGGTTTTGTAGGTTTCTCCATTATTTTCTTGACAAAATTGAGGGACATTGAGGGCATTGTTTTAAAGAATATGTCAGCTTATTTGGCTAGTAAGAGCCCCTTTTAGTAGTATGGTGTGAAAAGATAGGAGCGTTTGTCTCCATGAAAAAGTTGGGTTGACGTGAGAGTGTTAAAGGAAGCGTGGGAGTTTGCTGTAAGGCAATCACCTGCCCCAACAGAAACTGGGTGGGAGAGGAAACTTTATCTTGGAGAGCAAAAGTTAACTTTTAAATTTGACCCCTGCTGTTTTTTTAACAGCTTTTCCTTTTGGTCCCTGTCATCCAAGCTTTGTGTCATTTCAAAGGATTATTTTTGTCCTCCTTTGGTAAGAACCTCAGAAAAATGGAAGGTATCATCATCGGAAGTCTAACAATGTCATGTTTGGGATTTATGGCTTAAGTAAAACAATTTCTGGGTTGTTAACTATAGAAATAGACTTCACCGAATCACATGTTAGGATCCTATCTGTTTGGGGTTACTTTAAAAGTATGAGGCTTTGTGCTTCCTGACTAGTTAACCTTTTCTGCAGGAGGGGATCCTAAAATGCCTCATTTCTTTGGTCTGTTCTGGGAGTTTCATAAATGTTTTCTCCAGCATGTAATTGCACCTTTTGAGTCAAAGTCCAGTATTTCTCACAGGTAGGGTGGGAAAGTGAGAGAACACTGCTCGTAGCAGCTGACCTTGAGAAATAGATGCAAAATGTCACAAAAAGTATATATTTAGTTTTCACAACAGCTGGAATAAGGCACCTACTTATAAAGGAAGCAAAGATTTAATTCAGAGATCACCAGTGTTAGTTAAAGTGATCTCTAATATTTGTCACACTGTCCACTTAATCGGGAAAAGCTTGCTAATATAAATGTCCTTGTGAAAATGCAGCAAATTTCTAAATACTACTAATAGAACGTGGTATTTTTTATTATGAGATTTTACTCAGATTACTAGGAATAATTGAGTGCATTTGATTGAATGTGGTTCTAGTTCCAGAAGATCTATTTGATTTAATAACAATGGATTTTGATGGTTTGAGAAGGCTTTAGGATTATGTAGCGAGAGGTTTTTAAACTTGTCTACATATCAAAATCACCTGGAAGTTAAAACAGGTATTGCTGGGCCTTCTAGTTTCTTATTTAGTATGTCTCAGTATGAGCTCATAATTTTTATTTCTGACAAGTTTCCAGGTGACATTGGTACTGCTGTAGTAGGGACCACACTTTGCAAACCAGTAGAATAGTCCAAACTCCAAATAAGTACTATGTCAAGAGCCACCTAGATATTTAGGGACACAGGCCTGTGTCACACATTTTAGAGTGCTACCTATCACAAAGTCATAAAGTAATCTTGATTGAAATTTATAGCTGAAGAAGGCACAGACCATTTACAATCAGACGGTTAAACTGTGGAGCGTGGACCAGTATAGACACATTGCCGGTAGAGTGTTTAACCGTTTTCACATTATTATGTGAACAGTTTGGCTATGGTTTCCAGTGTTAACTTCAGAAGTTGACTAAAATGAGAAGAATAGGATCATGGCCTAAATAATAAGAATCAACATTTCTTCCCCTCAAAAATTTTGAAAAGAATGTCTTAGTATTTGTCTTTTCTTTGTTGCAAGATTAAAAAGCAAGGATTTTAACTTTCCACGTATCCCAGCAAGGATTCTAAAAAAAAACACAAAACAAAACAAACTAGAGAATTTTAAGTCTTCAGGTCATGGTAAGCACATGCATGTGTCATGTGTGTGTGTATGAATACACACACTCAGTTTCTTAGCTGGACTTCCCAGGAATCTGGTCATGGGACAGTGCATACCATAAACCTGCCACACATCTTGTTTTCTTACGCATTCTAATCTTTTGGAAGAATGAGTATTAATCTGTTTTGTAAATTAGAGGGTGCAGCTCTTTGTAGTCTTCCTTTGGTTTTAAGCAGAAATCTTTGAGGAAAGGTTTTCTTAGAAGAGAAATTATGTGCTTTTTTTGTCCAACTGACTGAACAACATTTTTTAAATGAATTATCTGACAAAATTATGTGTGGTTAAGTTTATCAGAGGTTTGAATATGTTTGGTTGGCTTATTTGTGGTAATTGTGCAATGTAACAAACACACTGTTTTTTCAATAGAAAAGAGAAAGATTATTGATGCCTTTAGGATACAGGTGCCGAAAAATAGCCCGAGATTATTTCTTGACTGTTAAGAATATGTTTGCAGTGGAAGTCCATAAACGTAGCTGAAATTGATTTATTCAGTATTCAATAAGCATTTGTTGAGCACATACTATTAGCTGTGGTATAAGGACTAATGCTTAAATAGGAGGAAGCCAGGCAAAGGAGCAACAATATTGTCCTTTTATCACTCTAAGCTGTGAAAATAGCATATATTAAACAAAAGGAGTATATGGAAAAGTGCAGCTGCATGTGCCATCAATTATAATACAATACTGTGGGTCTGTCTGGCAGGCAAATAGAGTAGGTAAATTTGTTGAGAATTGGAACTTTGAAAGGTATGTGGATATTGCAAATAAAAATGGATCCCATGAGGTTTGTGTAATTAATAGTTGTTCTTTTGCACGTGAGAATCTGTAATTTTGTGCATCGTTTCCCACTTCCTTTTTGAGGTTAGCTAAAATTGAACATTTAGAAATAGGAGATCAGGTTGCTTCCATATTTTCATGTCAAAGGGAAGAGGGGAAAATGGAGGAAAAGACATGAGATTTGTATTCACTGTTTTAAAAAAAATTTAAATGAGGAAACAAAAAAAGAAAATACAATTTAGATTATACTCTTTAAAAAAAAGAAGCAATTGTTGGCATACAGTCTTTTGGGGTTCTTCGCGCAGAGAAGATTCAGGGTAAGAGATCTCTTTTGTAGGAGATATTCTTCTAAAACTGAGTGTGCCAAAGAATTAGGCTGATGCTTTAAGTTTGCTAAGCTTATAGTAATTTTATACAAAGGCTCTGGTTTTCATGCCTTTGGTACTCATTGGAAGAAGGCAATCAGCTCTGAGAAGGAAGTGTTGTTTGAAAAGCTGTACAAGGTAACAATAATAACAATTATTGTAAAACCATAGAAATTGAAGGGAGTTGTAATTATTAACATCCTGCAGTTTGCAAGATGATTTCTAGTGACTGTTTTATGTAGACTATCTCCTGAATTAACAACATACTTTTTAAATGTGGTAAGGTAGAGAACTACAGAGATAGCAGAATAGTTCATCTGAAGATACTTCACTGCTTATTTTTTTAATCTGATTATAGAACCATTTATGAGATGCAAATTTACTACTTATAGTTTTATAATGAAAGCAAAGGTCTTAATATTTTACACCTATCTGACCATTTATAAAAAAGTTTTCAAAATTTGGTTTTAGTCATGAATTCAGAATATTTTAATGTTATTTAATATACATATTAATATAATATTTTTAAACATTCTCTTT